GCCATGCAATGTAAATGTCTTGCTGGTGAAAGAAAAGACATTTTTGTTTGTAATATGAGTGCTGCTACTGCGTGAGGCACTTTTAGTGTAGTTTTGTGATACAAAACTACTTCTGCTGCTGCATGCACTGCTTGTGCTGCTGCCACTACTGCCTGTACACATGGTGGTAGTCCCTGTGTAACAGAGTCTAATTTGCCAGAGAAAAATGCCACCAGTCTTTGTTTATATCCATGCTTCTGTGTCAGCACAGTATCTCCATTTCCATCAGGTAAAGCTATCATTGGAAATGCTTCTATTTTTAACTCCTCCTTTATCCTCCTCCTCTGATTCTGGATTAATATTTCTCCATTTTTTCCACTTTGCCACATTGTGCAGCAAAACCATACTATGATCCCCTTCTTTTTGTTAATAGGGTAAAGTGGTTCCTGATTGTCAACTTTATTTTTTTATTCATTTTTAATTATTTTTTCACAACTTTATTAAAAAGAAGGTTTTTAGTCTAACTTTGGATATAGATATATACACTTGTAAGTAGTCCAAATGTGTACTGTTCAACACAGACTATTTACATTGCCTGTAATGTCATGTACAGTGTGTTTTTGGTGCGATCTCAATCAGACTTAGTATTCTGTATTATATCATCATATCATTGTTTTGGTTGGGAGCTCTGGTTTTGTCTTATGTTGTTTTACACATTGTTCATTTCCTTTAGTAGTCTTTTCATTCTTTTATTTAAAACTAAATTTTCATTTCAGGTGAAGGAATGCAGGATGGAGGCCTGTGCTTATGCTGCTCTGGGCATCACTTACAGACTGGTGCAGAAATATGACAAAGCTCTAGGCTACCACACCCAGGAGCTAGAGGTGTACCAGAAGCTGGGAGATGTGTCCGGAGAGTGTAAGTCTCACGGCCACCTGGCAGCTGTTTACGTGGCCCTGGGAAAATACGCCATGGCCTTTAAGAGCTTTGAGGAACAGCTGGAGTTGGGGCGGAGGTTGAAGGATCCTGTTGTAGAGGCTCAGGTGTATGGAAACATGGGCATTACTAAAATGAATGTAGGAGTGATGGAGGAAGCCATAGGCTACCTCGAACAGCAGTTAGCTACGTTACAGCAGCTAAATGGAAATGAGGCAGTGATGGACCGAGGACGGGCATATGGGAACCTGGGAGACTGTCACGAGGCTCTGGGAAACTTTGAGGAGGCCATTAAATACTATGACCAGTACCTGTCTGTGGCACAGAGCCTAAATCGCATGCAGGACCAGGAGAAGGCCTACAGAGGTTTAGGAAATGGGCACAGGTGAGTCCAACATCAAAATGGCAATGAATAAAATACAAAATAAAAACTATAATTTATTCATATAGTTTAAAATGAACTAAAACCTGGTAAAACCTCAATTAATGTGTGAAATGGTTTTATTGAAGCTACAGTGTAAAGATGTAGGTTATTAGAAACAAGGACCAACTCTATCTGTCTGTCTGTCTATCTATCTATCTATCTATCTATCTATCTATCTATCAACATATATTTTATACATTGTCTTTTTTTGACAATGCTCATCCTTCCTTTTAAGCCCTTTCCTTAGTATATAGCATAAATCTAAAAAAGTGACATCCAAGAGATGAGCAGCAAGATAGAACAGAATCATTTTAGAAGCCGAATACTTCAAAGATGCAGTATCTCAGTATTTTTAACAAGAATTGCCATCTGCAGACGTTTGTAAGCTGTCATTCTTGGCTACTTATCTCACATTCTTTTCTTATCTTTCTTCTTCCCCATGTTCACCGTCTTTCCATGTTCACCCACAGGGCTATTGGACACCTGCAGCAGCCACTGGTGTGCTTTGAAAAGCGACTTGTCGTTGCCCATGAGCTGGGTGAATGTGGAGGAAAGGCCCAGGCGTATGGAGAACTGGGAGCCCTCCACAGCCAACTGGGCAATTACGAGCAGGCCATCTCCTGTCTGGAACGTCAGCTGGCCATCGCCCGTGACACCCAGGACAGGCTGCTGGAGGGGGACGCCAGCTGTGGCCTGGGCGCTGTGTATCAGTCCATGGGAGAGTATGAGACGGCACTGCGGTGCCACCACAGTGATCTGGAGATTGCAGAGGAAGTTGAGAACCCCACGCATCAAGCACGTGCCTATGGGAATCTGGGACTGACCTACGAGTCGTTGGGGAACTACGAGCGAGCAGTGGTGTTCCAGGAGCAGCATCTGAGTGTAGCACCTCAGACTAACAACTTGGCTGCCAAGACCCTGGCCTATGGCAGCCTGGGAAGGACACACCACACTCTGCAGAACTACTCACAGGCTGTCATGTACCTGCAGGAAGGTGAGTGATTCAGTAAAGAACTGGAATGTCTCTGTTTCCTGAGCTGCAGGGCTTAAAGCCATGGAATTTAAAATCCATTTTAAAGTCCCATTAAAAAAAAAAATCAATTATAGGCTGCAGGTTTTTTGCAAAGCATTTCTTCTCTCACAAAGACATTTTTCTCTCATGATTCCTTGTTAGACTACTCATATACATGGCTAGTGTTAAGATAAAAAGTGGTGGCTTTTCAGCCAGAGAATTACCAGTGGGCTGCTTGTGAGCCAGATACATACAGTGATAAATGTGAAAGAACATTTCTAAGATGGCTGGCTTGATTTTTAAGATCAAATATCTGATCAGATCTAATGAAAGCTTCTTAGATGTTTAACACAGCTGAAGATTATTTTTAATCCTTGTTAACATATGTATAAGCAAGGAGTGTGTATTGGCACAGATCTGGCGATATGATATTTATCACTATACAGGGGCAATAATACGATATATGGTGATACTATGGGGACAAAGATATATTGAGTTTTTTAAGCGATTTAATTGTAGGAAAACTGTCAGCAAAGTAAACACACAATACTGTTACTGTTAATATCTGAGGCAGTAGTTGATCCAGAACTCATCTTTGTCTGGATACATAAAGATGAGTCAAACTAACTGAAGCATCTGATGAGGTGTGTTCAGTTCTATGCCTGTTGTTCGGTGATAGACCTAATGCTCGGCCACACCCATCGCAGTATGATCCCAAACCCTGTTTGACTCAGAGACATTTTGCAGCTAGAGTCAAAGGACAAATCTATTTTTCAGCCAGTGGGGAGTGAATGCAAAGGCAGTTAAACCTCCTCTGTGTCTCCTTCTCTTTTCTGCATAAGCCTGGTCCTGCAGTGACCCTCTGCTGCGTATTTCTGCACCCTCTGCTTGTTAAGCTTCAATGGAAACAAAGGCGACAGGCTGTTTTCTCTCGCCATGTCCTCCACCTTCTCCTCCTCCCTTTTCTCCATCACCACGTTGTTTTCCTGCTCCGTCCTTGTGCTGTAGAGTGAAACGGTGTTTTCACTGTTGCTGACAGCCAATGATATCTGGCCAATGTACCAAAAATGTATCCTGGATTTGTTTTCTTAAAAATTTTAATTAGGGAAAAAAACAGAAGCAAAACAGCAGAACCAGCGCAGAAACATAACCTGATGATCAGTCTGTGTGTGTGTGAGTGTGTGTGTGTGTGAGCATGTGTAGGTGTGTGTGTGTGTGAGAAAGAGTGAAGAATATGATACAATAGAGATACCAATTAGTAGCTAATTAAAAAGCACAGTATTCTCATTTCACACTCTGTTTCCATCACCTGATCCACTAACCTGCTATTTTCTTTTATTTTGTTTTTAGAAATAATCCTTTTACAGTGATGTAGAGAGTGTCACTAAATCAGTGCCAACATTGTAGCCACTAATGGAGGGGAAGCAGTGTCTTCATGCTCAGTTGATGCACCATTTGCCATGCAATGACAATATAAAGCTGTTGGTTACGTGAACACTTTCATGCCAAACCTTTTTTCAAAGCTGTAAGTGCACTTAAAAAATCAAACAAAGATAATGTTAACTTTGTTAATTGTCTTGAATGTTGATCTACCAGGCAGAAAAACAAAGAACAGATATTGGTATAAACATTTCTACCAAAGGCTTCACAAGCAAGGAATGGTGCAAAACTTCCCAGCTAAGGTTTCTGTCAATGGGCTAGTAGGCATAAAGTGTTTGACTGACCCTCCTGCACTCCATCAGATCAGTCTGGATCACTGCCCAATAAGTAGATTGTGATCTATCAGTAGATTTCAAAGGAAGTCGAAAAGTGGACGGGCCAAGCATTAACCAGAAATATTGCATTCATTCAAACAGATGGGACCAACTCTTTCCTCAATTACGTGAAAAATAAATTAAAAAAATCTTAACATTAAACACCTTCCAGTGGACTCACCACCCGCAGGAAGGTTTGGGGGGTTGGTATGGTGCAATGTGATTTGGGTGGCGAATGCTGTCCCCGCGACCCGGTAACGGATAAGCGGATGAAAATGGATGGATGGATGGATGGATTAACATTAAACAAGAATAAGAATACTTTTCTGTCATACATTTTGGATCAGTGGAGAAATGACTAACAAATAGAATATATTTCAGTTATAATTTTCTTTACCTTGTGCCTGTGCACTGAAATAAAGTTTCTGTAAATAGGTCTGTATATTGACAGCCATGACATCACACCAATCGTCACTGACACTCGCTCCCCGTTAGTATAGTGAACAGTATCCCTCCCTGTCATGCAGGACACTGGGGTTCAATTCCCAGATGGGCAGATTATATTTAGGTGCTTCCACAGCGTAGCAGTTAGCACACCTGTGTCAGACAGAGAGCAGATAGTCCTGGGTTTGATTCCCAGTTAACACAATAGCTGGAAAAGGATAAGCCATTCCCCGTATTTATGGTCTCCCCAAAATCCACAAGGAAGGACCTCCACTCAGACCCATCATCACCAGCATCATATCAGTCACTTGTAACATCGCCAAACACCTGGCCTCCATCCTTTCACCATTGGTTGAGGACACACCTCACCACATAGCCAACTCACAGGACTTAACCAACAAGATAAGTGGCCTAAAACTGGACCCGGAAGAGACCATGGTCTCCTACGACGTCACATCACTTTTTAGATGCATCCCCACCACAGAGGCAGTAGCAACAGTGAGGATGCGCTTACTGCAAGATCACACCCTGCCAGTAAGAACTAACCTGACCATTGACCACATTTGTGCCCTTCTAGATTTCTGCTTCACCACCACTTACTTCCAGTTCCGAGCTTACTTCAAGATCGCACCCTGCCGGTAAGAACCAACCTGACCATTGACCACATTTGTGCCCTTTTGGATTTCTGCCTCTCCACCACTTACTTCCAGTTCAACGAGTCCTTCTACAGACAGACGCATGGCTGCACTATGGGCTCTCCTGTGTCTCCCATAGTGGCGAATCTCTACATGGAGGAAGTGGAGAGCCGAGCTCTACACTCCTACGTGGGAACATCACCCAGCCACTGGTTCCGATATGTGGACGACACTTGGGTCAAAATCAAGGTCCATGAGGTCAACAACTTCACAGACCACATCAACGCGGTGGACAGGAACATCAAGTTCACCAGAGAATATGTGAAAAACAACAGTCTTGCATTGCTGGACTCTGCGGTTCACATCACAGAGGACAGACAACTCAACATAGAGGTGTACAGGAAACCAACCCACACAGACCAGTATCTCCGTTTTGACTCACACTGCCCACTGGAGCACAAATTAGGAGTCATCAGAACCCCACAGTCACGGGCAGACACCAGTCACACCACCAACAGAGGTAAGATGAGAGAACAGGGACACATTAGGACAGCTCTCAAGACTGTGGCTATCCCAGATGGGCTTTTTTCAAAAACTAACAAAAAGAGGTCCGCAAAGAGGGAGGACAACAGGAGGGGGAATGTCATCATTCCATACATTTCAGGAGTTTCAGAAAAACTTATGAGGATCTTTAACCAACACCAGTTCCCCGTACACTTCAAACCTGGCAACACCTAGTTCATGCCAAAGACAAGACTCCAAGAAACAAGCTGGACAATGTGGTTTATGCCATTCAGTGCAGTGACGAGTGTATGGACCTGTACATTGGGGAGACCAAACAACTGCTACACAGGCGCATAGCCCAACACAGGAAGGCCAACTCCTCAGGACAGGACTCAGCTGTTCACATACACCTCAAGGACAAAACACACTCCTTTGAGGACAACAATGTACACATTTTGGCCAGGGAAGACAGATGGTTTTTAGAGAGGGGTAAAAGTAGCCATTTTTGTCAACCTGGAAAAACCATCACTCAACAGAGGAGGTGGACTCAGACACAACAACATCACCCACATACAAAGCACTTTTTAGGAACAATACCCAAAACCTCGAAAACCTTTCTGATGAGGACCACAACGACCCATCAGACTCTTAACAGTTGACCCCAAGGCCCCACCCAACAGGGTGGAGCTGAAGTAGCTTTAGGTCAAGGTCAAGGTCAAGGTCAGCTTTATTGTCAATACCTTCACATGTACAGAACATACAGAGGTATCGAAATTACGTTCCTCGCCTTCCCGTGCGCTGACAGACATAGACAATACTGAACGACGAACATTAAGGTGCAATAACAATAAGGTGCATGTGTAGCTTTAAGGTGCTGTATGGTCTGTAAAAATATATACATGAGGTACATAATAAATATAGTAATAATATAATTAGCAGCAGATGAGGTGGTAATAGTGCATTGTATTACAAGTCAATAGTGCATTTATGGCATTTCAACAGTGCGGTGGATATGTAAAAGAGGCAAAGGTACAGGTGGATGGTGGTGAGTACGGAGGCAGACAGTGCAGTGAGGGGG